AAAATGAATTTGAACAATTGTAGTATCAGGCTGCAGCATAATAACATTGAAAAAAGTGAAGGGGGTCTGAATACTTTCCGAATGCACTGTACGTGCAGGATGATTCTAGATCAAAGTTTGTCAGTCCAATTACTGCAGTGTCAGGTTCTGATCAATGATAAAAATGGATTGCAAGTTTTTAGGAAATTAGAAATATGGTAGAATTACAACAAAACCAGTGTCAGGTTCTGATCAATGATAAAAATGGATTGCAAGTTTTTAGCAGTGTCAGGTTCTGATCAATGATAAAAATGGATTGCAAGTTTTTAGGAAATTAGAAATATGGTAGAATTACAACAAAACTCTGAAATGCCCAGTATGTCCCCATGTTCTTATACTTAGAGGTTTTCTTTTTTTCATTCTCTCTGTAATTTTACCAAAAAAAAAAAAAAAAAAAAACCAGCTAAAAAAAAAAGGAATCTACAAGTTTGTTTCAACTTTTTTCATTCCTGAGCTGAATTTACAGTACAAATATATATCTGGTCTATTTCAAGCCTGACATTGTGCTTCTCATTTTTCTTTTGATGGAGTTGGCCGGCCTTCAACCTAGTGCCCTTCAGATATGTGGGGCTATAATTTCCAGCCAATTTAGCTACTATAGCCCCATACATCTGGAACACATTCCTTGCTTCCTTTATGCTTTCTACTCTTCTCTTCAATTGTATCAGCCTTTTCTTTAAACCTCCAGTTTGTAGTACTATATTTGAGATTGCCAAGTTCTGTATTAATAGTGGCACGCAAGGATTCCACTTTATCATCATTTGAAAATTTAATGGAGAACAGGCCTAGCCAGGTTACTAGGGTGGGAGAAGACTGAGTAGCTGTATAGGATTAGTATGTGTTAACTAACAAAAATATTTCTAAAATGCTTTTCATATTTGTGATGGCAATCTAAGATACCAAAAGATCTAGTTCTTGCATTAGAAATATAAGAATAGTCCATTCTAAATTTTGTTTCATTCACTGAAAGCAGTTTGAAAACTTCTGCATTATAGTTTCAGGTTGAACAACCATTCAATCTTGAAAATAATACAATTAAGTGTTTCTATAAAAATGGTCTTACAGTTTCCTGCAATACATAGTTTTAAATGTTACAATGATAATTATGTTTATGCATTACTTAACCATTAATCTAGAATGGAGAGTTCATAATAGGATGCTGAATTTTATGACTGTAATATTTTAAGAGCAACCTTAGGAAGGCCTGAAAAGTTGTATACAAATGTCAAAACAAATAAACAGAAAATCCTCTATGATTATTACAATTTCTCCAACTACAAAATGGCAACTACCTCCAGATATGACATGCATACTTTCCATTATGTATTCCAAGACACTTACATCATTTTCAAACAGTATCAAACCCAAACTAAGGCGATCTGTTTATAATTCAGATCTGTAAGGCTGCCTAATTCAACAATGACTCTGGGCATCAACGGATAACTTCCTGCTGTTTTGACACTCATTACAGTACTCTGGGTATAGCTTCTCCTCGAGCTAGAACAGTTCAAAAGCTAACTACTTCATTCAGCTTTTCTGACTTAAGAGAATATTATGAGAAAGGGATAAGAAATAATGTCATGTCTTCGGAGCTGGATTTAGACAGTAGAGCTCTACACAAGATCTATAGTTGAGCTAATTTTGCATGTGAAGCACTATCATGATGGCAATTTTCCAAAACACAACTGCTACTCAGTAGGCAAATGACAAAGCAGTGCAATAAAGTGCAATATCCATTTTAAATGTGAACACAAGATACAGGCCTCATCACTGCTGATGACAAATTTCTCTCAAATCTGATTTTTGAGATCGTTTGTTCCATGAGTAAGGCAAATGACAAGATATAATGCTTATAAATTTGAGCCTGGTTTGAAAACCCCACTAGCAAGCTGATTTTTGACAGGTCATTAATATTCCAAAGATACAATAGGACAGTATCACATTTATTCACATTTATATTACTTTGAACGTTTTGGGACTGCATACCTATCTTCAAGGTTTTTTTATAATTTCCATAATCACCTTTTCTTAGGCTTTAGGAAATCTAAGTTTTACTCATCTTTCAAGAACACATAGAGGTACTGACAAGTCCTATAGGAATAATAATTCATTTAAAATACATGATTTTTCCATGTTTTGTTCAGGCCTGACCCCAAAGTGAAATGTCTTTGATTCTACTTGACTTTGTTATTCTGCTACTTTTTGTTTAAAAATTACTTTTAAAAAATATTTTCATAGAAGTACTGAAGCGACTGAGTTTAGTGCAATGGTCCCCAACATTTGGGGGTTTGTGGGCACGTTTGGAACTTAGAGAAATGGCTGCTGAGAAAGTAGTGGCCAATAACAACCAACAAAACATAAGGAGGGAAACTAATGAGGTTGCTCTTTACTCAAGCTTTACGATGTTCTCAGCTTATGTTTTTATGTTCTAGGCAGCTGGAAAGCTTTGAAACAAAGCACTGAGTTGCTTTCTAAGAATGTCTCTGGAGCCTACCTGGAGCCATCTAGCATTGTAGAAATACTGGTGCTTTGCTTTGCAGACTAGGTTCTCTCTCTCAGGTCTAAAAAAAATCAAGTTGCAAGGAGGCTGCAGGTGTGAAGAGACATGACAGTGCCCTGGTATCTGGCATATGATGTCTTCTGCACATGGAACTATTCATCCCTCTATAGCTCCCATGTGCTGGGAGAAGTACAGTATTAAGCCTTCCCCCCCAACATTATGTTCCCAGATGTTCATCTGCAACATCTTTAATTCCAAGCCAGCATGACCAATTGTCAAAAATGCTGGAAACTGAAGTACCACAACTTCCGTGGGCAATAATTGAGAAAGATGGTTAAATGATGCAGCAATATAGACAAGAGAGGATTGTGTAGGTCTATCAAGTAGGTAGTTCCAAACTGGGAAGGAAAATATTGCTGTGCAAACAGTCCATTCACGAAGGCTCCAGTTATATGGTTGGATAATTAAAACATTCTAACTTTGCAGGAGTTTTTCACAGGCAAGCAACTCCCAAGAAGCTGGGGAAAAACTCTATTTTACATTCCTACACAGCTGGATGTTGTGAAGAAAGCTCTTGGGTTGAAAGACTGCTATTGTGAA